TCAACCGGCTTAAATGACCCATCCAGATCATATTCTGCCTCAACCGGCTCTAATGACCCATCCAGATCATATTCTGCCTCAACCGGCTTAAATGACCCATCCAGATCATATTCTGCCTCAACGGGCTCAAATGACCCATCCAGATCATATTCTGCCTCAACCGGCTTAAATGACCCATCCAGATCATATTCTGCCTCAACGGGCTCAAATGACCCATCCAGATCATATTCTGCCTCAGCGGGCTCGAATGACCCATCCAGATCATATTCTGCCTCAACCGGCTTAAATGACCCATCCAGATCATATTCTGTCTCAACTGGCTTAAATTACCCATCCAGATTATTTATATTCTCTCTGTCCCTTATTTTTCAATTTATTTTCCTTAAAAAAAAACTTTTCTAGTGGTCCACCCTGCGTCTTTTTAATATACGGTTGACACTCTAGTAATGCACACCGTTAGATCTTTATAGGAAATTTGATTTAATTTATTGTAGACTATTTTGCTTACAAAGCTCAATGTTTTATCCGATTCATTGTTTGCGATGGCCGTTTATTATTTATCAGTAGCAACAGAAATACGTCAACGGAAACTTGACGGAAACAAGTGAGAACGGAAACTTATTTAACGGAAATGAAACGGATACGTGATTGTTCATTTCCGTTGCGGAAACATGACGGAAACGTGTCGCATTCAAGAGAAAGTAGATGACCATGTTTCCGCATCGCGGAATCGTAGCGGATTTATGTAACTCCTTGTTTCCGATGGGTTTACGAAATACGGAAACACGTTATTTCGTCCTGTGTTTCTACAAGTAAAGAGATTATGATAACAGGTTGGTTTTAATTGGTTCTGAGCTAAACAGGATGACTCTCACATTTAGAACTGCATGATTTTACGACATACCGGTCAGTGGTCAATGACCTACTATCGTATCTTGTTTATTTTTCTGTTGTTTCTAGGAGCTAAACCTAACCTAAGAAGCTGAATATACCGATAGTTGAATTTAGGACAAAATTTCTTTGTTTGATTAAGTGTCTTAAATTAGCCGTTCAATGCACGAACTCTTAGTCCGAATATTAAACAACGAAATGACAACCACCTTATTGGTTTGATAAATGTGGTCGCTTATAAACGATATGCGCAGACTTGGGCAGGTGATCTGTTTACTAAATTTTAAAATTTGAACAGTAAACGGATTCTGACGGCAGGAAGATTGTTTTCTTTCCTTATCTTTTCTATCAATGCCACTGAACAGGGCCGTATGAGTCCCCGTGTTTTCTGTTTTGGAAAGGTTTACAGTTTTCAAATGCGGGTGTCTTGCTGCAGTTTTATTTATCGGATTCAAGATATGCATATTTTTAACTGGATGACAAGTTGGTCTTTTTCTAACCTGAAAAGGAAGTCACGTTTTCAGTGTAAAATAAAAAGTTTCAGTTTTGTTGGAGGATTGACGGGTAAGGGATATTTTTGTCATCTGAACCGTTGAGTGGATTCTTACCCGTCGCATTTGCCCGCACTTGGGATTATTATAACTGTTCTTTTTGAAATTCAAACTGGTAATTCCATTCCTGCTTCGAATCAAACATCAGGAAATACATCTGCTCATGAAAGCCAAACAACAGGCCGCTTAGGTCAATGTTTTCGGGTTAAACGATTCCAAAACTTTAACTTTACTAAGATTTTCATGTTACTACTTTATATATGTTGTGTCTTTGTTATGTTTTTCGTTTACAGCCATTAAACTCAACAGCAGAAAATCTTGCGGATCGCGTTCTTCTCTATTTTTCTCACCACAGGTAACCCAGGCGCACGGTTTGTGTCACGTACCGGTTTCATAACATAAGTAATTAGTATATACACACTCCGTGATCTTGGTAATTCAAGCAATCTGATTGGTTAGCTATCTCGGACTAGTGAAGCTGCGCAGCGCCGAAGAGTCAAATTTCGGATTAGGTGTTCATACTATACAGACAGAGTTGCTTATGGTTTCGGCACGAAAAGCCATCCGGTATGGTCTGCATAAACATAGCCTATTTCTGTCGCCAATTAAAGATCTGCGGCATATTGCATTTTAATTTGTTCTGGGAGCCTGGTTGTCCATTGAATAAACTTGTTTTGTAGTTCAGTAGTCTCATCATTTAACATCTATAAATTTGAAACCAAGATTTCAAAAACATCTATAAGATACATATTTAGTGGTTATTTTATTTTCTTTCATAACTTCTCTTTTTTTTGATCTTGATCGTAGTAAGTATTTTATAGATATTTTTTGTTTATTCATATGAGGGCGGTGGGTTTGACTTAATGAAACCAGAAAGTCGGATCAACCAATTTATAGCAAAATTGAAAGCAAAAACCAATAAATCATGATATGACTAGAGGAAATTGAAAATATTGATAAAATAAAGGGCGTAGTAGTTAACAGGTGCCATATATATATATATATATATTTTTATCGTTTATCAACATTCAAACAAAAGAATTGTTTTATTGTTAATTTAGCCTTATAAGAGTCAGTTTTTAAGTGATTCACAAAAATGTCGGGATCATATGTTATTGGGAAACTGGCTTAGCTTTTAAAACTAATTTCTTTATCCAGCAGAATTGGAGTAGTTTCTTCAGATCTACTTCTCGGCAGTTGTTTGGTGTTCTAACGACGAAGTTTTAGTTCATATTTATGTAATCCGACTGGCGGGCTTATTATTTTAAACATATTTCTCCCACTTAGCGTCGTGAAAATATTGCTTTCCATTAGAGTCAGTAATGATTGTCTCAATAATTATTGTTGCCATTTAGGAAACAGATAGAAAATTGCTCTTCTCAGTTCTAAGATAAGTCCCTTTTTGCTTTAGAGGTTTAAAACGTAAAAGAAATTCCATGCTTTTTCATAAATTAAAAGAACTCCATGGATTTTTTTGTTTTTGTTTTTATACTCTGTTGATTAGTTATTAGTATGCTAATACTTCCTTTTTATTGTTTGAATAAGTATCTTAGTAATTACATGCAGTAGTTCAGAGTCTCTATTAGACAACAACTTAGTGACTATTACCTTATTGCCTTAAAGATGGCATGGTAGACACTGCGGTTCATATCAAAGGCGGAGGTGGGCAGGAGATATTAATTGATAAGGGGCTTGAATTTTTTAATGGGTATGTTGTTTTTTTCTTTTTTCACGTAGCTTTAGGGGAACCTAGTTTCATTCTCACAATTTTAGTTTTACAATTTCTTTCGTCCGTAGCCACTGCAGTCATATTTTTAAATCAGCTTCAGGAGCCCATGGGCTTCTGATAGCTTCGAATGCTTTCTAGAGTATTGATTAATTTTCTCATACTGAAGTGAAAAAATTTGAATTGATTGAAGGATTCACTCTAGTAGGTGTTACCTTCGGAGGGTACTGAACAAAGTTTTATACAGGGAGGCTCCGCCCCGAGGTCCAGCCCCTTACCGTTTTATATAACAGTTTTGCTAGAAAAGGTGCTCCTTTCGCATATCTTCCATCGACAAATGACACCCCTTTCACATCCCTTGCTTAGAACTTTGCATTCCAACATACATGTATGAATATATCTGCCTCCTCCACACAGGCTTTTCCAAGGCGCTGTGGTGAGCACTTAGCGAGCCAAAAAGAAGAAAGCGAGAAACAACAAGCGAGAAGCGCGAGAAGGGAATGATGGGAACGAACGCAGAGCGCGAGCAGGGAGTAATGGGAAAGAAAAATAGAGAAGTTAGGGTGAGGGTTAACACTCAAGAAGTAGAGAGAAACACTCCCAAACTGAGTCTCGTGTTTTCCCTTACACTTCTTTCATGCTCTAGCCGCTTCCTGCTTGCCTTACAACTGAGTACAGTCAAACTTTCTTTATTGTTAATTTTCAAATACTTCGTTCGACACTGAGTTTTGTGAACGCTTTTTCTGCTCTCGACTCCCTCCACAATCAAATTCTGGAACACAATACGTGAACTTTTAAAAAACAAGTTCAAATAGCTGCGTAGACGATAACTGTAACAAACACAACAACTCTTTCAATTTGTCTTAATGTTTGATGTTTTAACACTCTGAGACCAGACTTTTTCCGTATAGTAGTCTCGGATGGTGGTGTTTGGGAATAGGTGGGCTGGGACTGCAACCTCTCTTTCCCAGTGGAAAGCCCTTAATTAAAAAATAAATTCGTAATCAAGATCTGTCGTCTTGATAATACACAATCGACCTGTCGTTTATTGTAACTTTGTTAAACTGAATTTTTAGAGCGACTGCAGCGAATAATGTTGTCCATTTCTTGAAATTGGGGGGGCCTTCAATTTTTTTTGGATGGAATATGGGGGCCTTAAAATGCCAAAAGATGACCTTGTGGGGGGTCTTCAAGTTTCTTTTAAGTAGCATCCCTACTGAGCAGCATGATGCTCAGTGAGTCTTAAAGGACCTGATTTTGATTCAGTTTTACACAAAGTCCTGCTTTGTGTAATACTAAAACAATTTAATCAGCATTTTGACAAAAAGATTTAATGCTCAAATAGAAGGTGCATCAACACAACATCCATTATTGTGTAACACTGAAACAATTTTATCGGCATCAAACAAATGATTACATGCATAAAGTCATGTTATGCAATCTCACAATCCGAATCATTATTTGTAGATGAGGTTGATATGGACTCACTGTCCGTGTCAGTGTCAAGTTTTTTGCCATTAAAGCATGTACTGCTCATATAAAAAGCAGTGAGCCTTGGCTAATTATCTTCTTTCTTCCTTGAAGCGGTCCTGTCGAGAACGAGAAAAATAAAGTATAAAAGTGGCCAACATTAAGCATTGTTATTTGTTTTTCATTTTTACCAGGTGAAAATCATCAATTTTCTAGCCACATGAATTAAAAAATCATCCTCTTTAATTTTTGTTTTAATTAGCTGAGATATTTTCCAACTTTGTATGGGTCTGATATACAGACTCTGATACCCGCATCAAAATGAGCTCACTTTAACAGTTCCTTTTTTGTAGTTTTTAATTTTAAAAGCAGCGGAAAACCTTGCGGATGATGTTCTTCACTTCTTGTTTCACATCTCTGATCCTCCAATAATAAAGCGCTGGGTTTAAAGAAGAATTTAAATAAAGGAGGGTTACGAATAATTCCCAAATAAGATATATTTCGGTAGAAAAGGGTAGTTTACCAAGCAACCTTAAGAATACCATTAAGTTATATGGAAAATAGCAAATAAGTAAAGCTAACTGCACCCATGCTATGCTGTACACTGTCTTCTTGTATCGAGCTATGTTCAGTTGATTCCCTCCTCCATTTGGCCGCGGTCCTTGGTGAGTATTGCGATGAACCTGAACTTGTCGATAACGAAGGGTTTTAAATATCTTCGCGTAAGAGAATACTGAAACTAGCAAGGAAAGCATTAATAAAGGACAGAGTAACATATTGGCTATTTTATCTAGTTTTGGATATTCAAAAAATATACTACCTGTGGCTTGAAGGGCACTAATCAACCAAAAACAAAATAGGACAACCCAAACTCGTCTTAATGTTACAGTGTGTCTATATCTCAGGCCTAATAACAGGGCAAGGAGTCTGTCCACACTGATGGCGGCTGATGTAAGGAGTGATACTGCAGAAAGCAGACGAAAGAAAAACCCGTCTGCCAAAACAATTGCGACATTCACATTCCAAGTTGTGAACCAGGGAAAGAGAATAGTAACATACAGTGGTTGAGAGATAAGTCCAACTAAAAGATCGGTGACTGCCAGGCATCGAAATAACAGTTTTGTTGGTGGATAAATGGACGTCACTTTATGAAGAGCAATCAGGATCAGAGTGTTGCCAAGAGATGCGGTGATGGCGAGAAAAATATTGATGCCTGCAAGAATTGCCATGCTCGTTGAATAAGCATTCCATGAGGTTACTTCAATCGCACTTGTGCTGTTTGCATATTCTGTTGAGTTTGCCATGTCTTTACATTTGTTGCAAAGGAACTACACTCGGCTTAATATGTATGCAAAGAATTCCTTCTAAGTTTAGTAATTGCTTTTGGAAACAACGCAGGCCTTTATAAACAGGTTCTACAAGTAAAGAGATTATAATAAAAGGTTGTTTTTAATTGGTTCTGAGCTAAACAGGATGATGACAGCCACTTTTAGAACTAGTGCATTGTTTTACGACATACCGGTCAGTGGTATTTGAACTACTATCGTATCCTGTTTATTTTTCTGTTCTTTCTAGGAGCTAGACCTAACCTAAGAAGCTGAGTATGCCGATTGTTGAATTTAGGACAAAATTTCTTTGTTCGATTAAGTGTCTTAAGTTAGCCGTTCAATGCACCAACCATTAGTCTGAATATAAAACAACGAACTGACAACCACCTTATTGGTTCGCTTAAAGACGATATGGGCAGACTTGGGCAGCTGATCTATTGCCTAAATTTTAAAATTAAAACAGCCTCTGTCTGCAAGGAAGCCGCAAGGCGGGAAGCCTATTTTCTTTCTTAATTAAGCTTGTAGTCATTGCAGTTATTGTTTCTTTAATAACTTGGTTTGTAATTTGCTTCCAAGACTGCGTTATTGTTTTTCTTATATTTGGACATTTTCAAATGGATTCATTGAAAACAGTTATTCTTAGTTAGCGGTTCATAGTGACCAATTCTGTCGTTTGTCATATACTTAGTTGTTCATTTTAACGAAGCTATACGTTCTCTTACAACTCTGTTTTCAGGAGTGGTGTTCTTCTTTATTTGGCCTAAGCGGAAACACGCCACTGAACAGGGCCGTATGTATCGGCCCCAGTGTCTTTTGTTTTAGAAAAGGTTTACAGATTCAGTATTTAGCGTCTTAAACGCGGGTATCTGGCTGCAGTTTTATTCATCACATTCAACGTATAGTTATATAGATTTTTTTTCATTGGATGACAAGTTGGTCTTCTTCTAAGCTGAAAAGGAAGTCACGTTTGCAGTGTAAAAATAAAAAGTTTCAACTTTGTTAGAGATTGATGGATAAGGGACATTTTTCTCATCTCAAACGTGGGGTGGATTCTTAGGCGTCTCATTTTCCCGCTCTTGGGATTATTTTTATTCTCTTTTTTAAATTCAAACTGGTAGTTCAACTCCGGTTTCGAATGAAACATCAGCAAATGCATCAGCACATAAAAGTCAAACAGGTGCTTAGTTAATGTTCTCGGGTTAAACGACTCCAAAGACAATTTTGTAAATAGTTCATTTTGAAATATATTTTATAGTAAGATTTTCATGTTACTTCTTTATATATGTTGTGTCTTTGTTATCTGTTTCTCGTTTACAGCCATCAAATAATTTATTAAACTCAACAGCAGAGTTCTTGTCTCACATCTCTGATCGTCCAAAAATGAAGCGAAGGGTTTAGAGAAGAATTTAAATAAAGAATAGTTGCAAATGATTCCCGAGCGATGGCTGTTGTGGTATTTAACTGAAACCGGCTATTAAACAGAATGTTATTGAAATGACAGCAGCTAGTGCAGAGCATAGTAAACAAGTAAGGCTAGCTGCACCCATGTTATCCCTGTAAATGGTTTTCTTGTATCAAGCTATGTTCAGTTGATTATCCCTTCCGTTTGGTGGTTCTCGAATTTGAGCTTGGTTCTTACGAAAAGTGTGGGAAATTTTTATGCAAGTAACGTTGATGTAATAACAGACATTATCAATAAGAGATGGTAGCCAAGAGAGCAATGTACCGTTTTGTAAAGTTCACAAAATAAAGAGTTTTTATCAATGGATGTTAGGGCACTAATTAACCAAACACAGATTAAAACCAAAGAGACGCGTCTTAATGTTACAGTGTGTCTATAATGACTAATTCGAATACTTTTAAGCCTCTCGACATGCATTTTAAGCGGAGCTATGAAATTAATATAAAATTAGTGTCTGTTCGGTCATACTAGGGCAACTTGAGTTAGGCAACTTAGATGCAATACAAAGTTTTACGAAAGTGAGAATTTTCTGATTCCTCTGTCCATAACAATTTTGACTACTAAAACGTTTTGGGTTTTCTTTTTCTACGAATTGAAAAATAGCATAACCTGGGGAGGGAAATGCAAAAAAATTAAACTAAGGAAAATCGTAGCTAATTTATTAGATAAGCTTCGAAAATTGTACATGAAAGGGCCCGTCACCTAGAAAGTTTTGGTCATCCTCAAGCTATAGAAAAGTCCAGGGAATTTTTACTTCTCCGAACAGATATTTTACAGCGATCAGTCGTTTGCTGCCCATACTTATTGGCTGGATTTACGATATCATGATCAAATTAATGCTATGCTTACACTATACAGGATAGCTTTAGCGCCGGCATCAAAACCATACCGAATAGGGCTTCTGTTCACACATAATAACGGTGATTTAGGCGAGATTTCTCTAACGGACGGATCATTATTTTTTTAAGAGGGAGGTTGGAAAATTTTCACATGCAAACTTTTTTTTTTATATGCGACTCCTGCTACAAACAATTTATATTGTGTCTCCGTCCTCCTGTAAACACTTTATTTTTTACTTCCATACAATGTATTTCTGTGTTTACACTCTCTGCAAACAATTTATCTCAAAATTTCCTCGAAGAGTCACATCTCCTGAGTCACATATTGGATACTAGGTGTTCAGTCGGAGTTGCTTATGGTTTCGGCACAAAAAGCCATCCGGTATGGTGTACATAAGCATAGCCTATTTCTGTCGCCAATTAAAGATCTGCGGCATATTGCATTTTAATTTGTTCTGGGAGCCTAGTTGTCCATTGAATAAACTGCTTTTGTTGTTCAATAGTCTCATCACTTAACACCTGCATGTAAATTTGAAACCTGACGGTTTGAAAAACATCTATAGGATACATATTTAGTGGTTATTTTATTTTCTTTCATAACGTTTCTTTTTTTGATCTTGATCGTAATAAGTATTTTATAGATATTTTTTGTTTATTCATATGAGGGCGGTGGGCTTGACTTAATGAAACCAGAAAGTCGGATCAACCAATTTATAGCAAAATTGAAAGCAAAAACCAATAAATCATAACATGACTAGAGGAAATTGAAATTATTGATAAAATAATAAGCGTAGTAGTTAACAGGTGCCATATGTATATTTTTATCATTTATCATCATTTAAACAAAAGAGTTGTTTTATTGTTAATTTAGCCTTATAAGAGTCAGTTTTTAAATGATTCACAAAAATGTCGGAATCATATGTTATTGGGAAACTGGCTTAGCTTTTAAAACTAATTTCTTTATCCAGCAGAATTGGAGTAGTTTCTTCAGATCTACTTCTCGGCAGTTGTTTGGTGTTCTAACGACGAAGTTTTAGTTCATATTTATGTAATCCGACTGGCGGGCTTATTATTTTAAACATATTTCTTCCACTTAGCGTCGTGAAAATATTGCTTTCCATTAGAGTCAGTGATGATTGTCTCAATAATTATTGTTACCATTAAGGAAACAGATGGAAAATTGCTCGTCTCAGTTCTAAGATAAGTCACTTTTTGCTTTAGAGGTTTAAAACGTAAAAGAAATTTCATGTTTTTTCATAAATTAAAAGGACTCCATGGATTTTTTGTTTTTGTTTTTATACTCGGTTGAACTAGTTATTGGTTGCTAATACTTCCTTTTTATTGTTTGAATAAGTATCTTAGTAATTACATGCAGTAGTTCAGAGTCTCTATTAGACAACAACTTAGTGATTATTACCTTATTGCCTTAACGATGGCATGGTAGACACTGCGGTTGATATCAAAGGCGGAGGTGGGCAGGAGATATTAATTGATAAGGGGCTTAAGGAATTTTTTAATGGGTATGTTGTCTTTTTCTTTTTTACATAGCTTTAGGGGAACCTAGTTTCATTCTCACAATTTTAGTATTACAATTTCTTTCGTCCGTAGCCACTGCAGTCATATATTATTAAATAGCTTCGAATGCTTTCTAGAGTATTGATTAATTTTCTTATACTGTAGTGAAAAAATTTGAGTTGATTGAAGGGTTCACTCTAGTAGGTGTTACCTCCGGGGAGGGGGGGGTGGGGGGGGTACTGAACAAAGTGTTATACAGGGAGGTTCCGCCCCGAGGTCCAGCCCCTTACCGTTTTATATACCATTTTTGCCAGAAAACGTACTCCTTGCGTATATCTTCCATCCCAACATACATGTATGAATAGTTCTGCCTCCTCCACACAGCCTTTTCCAAGGCGCTGTGGTGAGCAGTTAGCGAGGCAAAAAGAAGAAAGCGAGAAACAACAAGCGAGAAGTGCGAGAAGGGAATGATGGGAACCAGGGCGGATAAAGGTTGGGAAGTGAAACGAGCGCGTCCGAGCAAGAAGGTGTGATGCAGAGGACTGGGACTCTGTCTAGAAATGCCGCCTGTTTTCGACTTCGGTCAGGGCGATGTGGTTTAATTGTTCTTTAGACACTGCCGCTGTCACTGAATTATGGCTGCTCGAGTTCTCTAAGAGGCAAATGTTGCTAATTTTTTGTGGGAGGTTTAGTTGGAGTAAACAAACATCTCTTTCAAATGGTTTCTCTGGTTACTTCCATGACTCTACCATACTCTACTATATTTTCGTTATATTACGCCCATGTCGATGTTATACCAAAACAAAAACAACTAGATACTGTCTAAAACACGAAGGAAAATCTCATCCATGTCATCCATGGCAAAACTAAAAGACAGCAGATGGTTTTTCATAACTAGACTGGACGCATGTATTTTATAAATGCGTGCACCTCGTGCAAGGTGTAATTATGCTAATTTCAATCACCATCATCCTTATTTTAATTTTGAAAAAAACATTTCGGTCGTAAGTCTTTCTGTTTCTTCGGAACTTCAAAATTAGTTTCCCCTCAGTGTTTACTGTTTAATTTGTCTTTTATTAGAGAGAAAAACGGAGAAAAAACCTTACAATTAATCTCAATAAATTTTGTTTACATGCGGTTGGCGGATTTGCGACGCATTGCACGAATCGCCATGGCGCGTTCCTCCCGAGAAGCAATGTTTGAAGTACTACAACGCCACTATATCAAAATATATCAAGCTAATTTTTTGTTATGTTATGTAAAATTTATCCCCCTTTACCATATGTAAAAATTACGGTTGAGAAGTGTTAAGCTTTTGCAAACGAAACGGCGAAAGACGATTAGGTGATACTTAGCGGAAGGAGGAGACCTTCAACACTTTCAAATTGAACTCAAATTTTGGCATTACACGACCAACAAGTTTGACTTTTAGGCACACAAACATTAACATATCAAACTGTTTATTAATATTGTTATAAAACAAATTTATCTATTGAACATAGTAGCCTGAAATTACTGAAAGAAAATAGGATTTCCGGTTTACAAAAAGGAAAATTTCACCGGCCTTTAAGCGTACCGGAAGCGCGGAAAGAGCGCTAGTGCCAGTCCTACTGCGCATCACACACTGAATTAAGAGCGGAGCGCTCGTTTCACCGCCTAACCTTTATCAACCCTGATTGGAACGAACGCAGAGCGCGAGCAGGGAGTAATGGGAATTAAGGAAAAATAGAGAAGTTAAAGTGAGGGCTAACACTCAAGAAGTAGAGACAAACACTCCCAAACTGCGTCTCGTGTTTCCCTTTTTCATGCTCTAGCCGCTTCCTGCGTGCTTTACAACAGAACAGAGCACAGTCAAAGCTTCTGTTTTGTTAATTTTCATATACTTTGTCCGACAGTTTTGTGAACGTCTTTTCTGCTCTGGACTCCCTCTACAATCAAATTCTGGAGCACCATACGTGAACGTTTAAAAAACAAGTTCAAATAGCTGCGTAAACGATAACTATAACAAACACAACAACTCTTTCAATTTGTCTTAATGTTTGATGTTTTAACACTCTGAGACTAGATTTTTTCCGTATAGTAGTCTCGGATGGTAGTGTTTGGAAATGGGTGGGGTGACACTGCAACCTCTCTTTCCCAGTGGAAAGCCCTTTATTTAAAAATAAATTCGTAATCAAGATCTGTCGTCTTGATAATACACAATCGACGTGTCGTTTATTCTAACTTTGTTACCCTGAATTTTGAGAGCGACTGCAATATTTGCGAATAATGTTCTTCACTTCTTATATTTTTGTACATCTTTATCCTGCCCCACATCGACCGCTCTATTCCGGGCAGTTTAGTTGCCAGACCTATAAACAATGCGCATGCTATGCTGTCACTAAAGGAGCATAGCAAACAAGTAAAGCCAACTACACCTATTATATGCTCAGCTATATACTGACTGTTCAGTCTTTCTGTATCGCGCTATGTTCACTACACAAAAAAATCTTATATCGAATTGTCAGACTAAAAATTCTTATCCATCACCCTCACCAGATGGATGCCCTAAATCTTTTCCCTAGAACTGTAAGTTTGAACTGCGTAAGATTAGGCTTGTTGACATATCATCCCTCACTTCCCCAGCTTTTTCCCGCCTTCTTACTGATGAGCTAAACCTTCTTAGTTTGTCCTGATTTGGGGTTGTATTGGGCGAAAGTTGAAAAACAACAATTTTTGGGTAAACCATAAAAAAGGTGGTTCTTAAGTAAAGGCCTACAGAAAAAAGAGTAAATAAGGTATAAAAGTGGCCAACATTAAGCATTTTTATTTGTTTTTCATTTTTAACAGGTGAAAATCATCAATTTTCTAGACACATGAATTAACAATAAAATCATCCCCTTTCAGAATTTCTGTTTTAATTACTTGAGATATTTTCTAACTTTGTATGGGTCTCAAAAGGTATACAGGCTCTGATACCCGTAGCAAAATGAGCTCACCTTAAGAGTTCCTTTTTGATAGTTATTAATTTTTAAAAGCAGCGGAAAATCTTGCGGATCATGTTCTTCACTTCTTGTCTCACATCTCTGATCCTCCAACAATAAAGTACTGGGTTTAAAGAAGAATTTAAATAAAGGAGAGTCACGAACAATTCCCAAAGAATAAATGTTTCGGTCGAATATGATACTTTATCGAACAACCTTAAAAACCCTAATAAGTTATATGGAAAATAGCAAATAAGTAAAGCTAACTGCACCCATGCTATGCTGTACACTGTCTTCTTGTATCGAGCTATGTTCAATTGATTCCCTCCTCCATTTGGCCGCTGTCCTTGTTGAGTATTGCCATGAACCTGAACTTGTCGATGACGAAGGGTTTTAAATATCTTCGCGTAAGAGAATACTGAGACTAGCAAGGAAAGTGTTAATAGCGCACAGAATATCCAAAAGACAATTTCAGGTAGTTTTGGATGTTTAAAGAGTATTATACCACCTGTAGCTTGAAGAGCACTGATCAGCCAAAAACAAAGTATGACCACCCAAACTCGCCTTAATGTTACAGTGTGTCTGTATCTAAGCCCTAACAACAGGGTAAGAAGTCTGTCCACACTGATGGAGGCTGATGTAAGGAGTGATACTGCAGTAAGCAGACGAAAGAAAAACTCGTCTGTATGAAGAATTGTGACATTCACATTCCAAGCTGTAAACTCGGGAAAGAAAGTAGTTACATATAGTGGCTGAGAGATAAGTCCAACTAAAAGATCGGTGACTGCCAGGCATCGAAATAACAGTTTTGTTGGTGGATAAATGGACGTCACTTTATGAAGAGCAATCAGGATCAGAGCGTTGCCAAGAGATGCAGTGATGGCGAGAAAAATATTAAGGCCTGCAAGAACTGCGAAGCTTGTTGAACGAGCATTCCATGATGTTACTTGAGTCGCACTTGTGCTGTTTTCATATCCAGTTGTGTTTATCATGTCTTTACTTTTGTTGCAAAGGAACTATACTCGATTCAATATGTATGGAAAGAATCCCTTCTCATTTTAGTAAGTGCTTCTGGAAACAACACAGGAACTGCAAGTCTTTATAAACAGTTTCTAAAAGTGAAGAGATTATGCATGATAACAGGTTGTTTTTAATTGGTTCTGAGCTGAACAGGATGACTGTCAGATTTAGAACTGCATGATATTTAACAATTATTCCTCGAGCCCGAATGGGCTCTGAGTCAATAGCCCATGAGACCGAAGGCCGAATGGGCTATTGACTTAGAGGCCATGAGGGCGAGAGGAATAATTGTTTTAGTAAAATCCAACTAGCTGATCAAAAATATCGAGACAAAACAACTTTAGCTGGTTAAAGCTAGACTTTAATCCTTTTTTTGCTGCCAAAAAACCGGCGCTTTCTCTAGTGGTGGGATATAACATATAGCCTAGTAGTACTCAACCAATCAGAACGCAGCATTGATAATAGACCACTAGTTGGATTTTACTAATACTTCATATTTGAACTGCTATCGTCACATCCTGTTTATTTTTCTGTTCTTTCTAGGAGCTAAACCTAACCTAAGAAGCCGAGTATGCCAATAGTTGAATATAGGAGACAATTTCTTTGTTTGATGAAACGTCTTAAGTTAGCCGTTCAATGCACGAACTCTGAGCCCGAATATTAAACAACGAAATGACAACCACATTATTGGGTTGATAAATACAGTCGCTTACAAACGATATGGGCAGACTTGGGCAGGTGATTTATTGACTAAATTTTAAATTTTAAACAGTAAACCGATCCTTACGGCATGAAGATTGTTTTCTTTCTGTTTTTTTTCTTTTTTATCACTCTTAAGGATCAGGTTACTGTTTTAATTTTAAAATTTGGTACTCCAAATTTTACTGATCCAGGTCTACTAAACATGTCTAAAAATCCGGCTGATCCTCACTGGTTTGTCGTCGTGGTATTTCCTTCACAAGTGTTTCTGATCTATCGACTGAATTACCGATAACTGTGTCAGTCTCTTTCTGCAGGCAAAGAAATCGCAAGGAAATCTATTGTCTTTCCGTTAGTGCTGTTTAATAATGAGAATAATAATCTTAATTAAGTTTGTAGTCATTGCAGTTATTATTTCTTTAATATCTTGGTTTGTAATTTGCTTCCAAGACTGCTTTATTGCTTTTCTTATATTCCGACAATTTTAAATGGATTGAAACATTTATTCTTAATTAGCGGTTCATAGTGACCAATTC